TCCCTCAGGACCCATGGATGCACCTCATCAGGTCCCATGGACTTGTCCACCCTCAGGTTCCTTAGATGGTCTCGAACCTGATCTTCTCCTACAGTGGGTGGTTCTTCATTCTCCCAGTCCCTGCCTTTGCCTTCTGTGACTTGGGCTGTGCAGCTGGATCTCTTGCCAGTGAAGGCTGAGGCAAAGAAGTCGTTGAGAACCTCAGCCTTTTCCATATCCCTGGCAGGCAGGTCCCGTTTCCTTCCGGAGAGGGCCTACATTTTCCCTAGATCCCTTTTTATCACTGATGTATCTACAGAAGTTTTTCGTGTTGCCCTGGCCAGATTTAACTCTATCAGGGCTTTAGCTTTCCTAACCTGATCCCTAGCTGCTCAAACAATTTCTCTGTATTCTTCCCAGGCTACCTGTCCTTGCTTCCACCCTCTATAGGCCTTCTTTTTGTGTCCAAGTTGGTTCAGGAGCTCCTTGTTCATGCATGCAGGCCTCCTGGTGTTCCTACCTGACTTTCTCTTTCTTGGGATGCACCGCTCCTGAGCTTGGAGGAGGTGATCCTTGAATATTAACCAGCTGTCTGGGGCCCCTCTTCTCTCCAGGGCTTCATCCCATTGTACTCTACCAAGGAGATCCCTGAAGAGGCCGAAGTCTGCTCTCCTGAAATGCAAGGTGGTGAGCTTGCTGTGCACCCTCTTTGCTTCTCTGAGAATCTCGAATTCCACCATTTCATGATTACTGCAGCCAAGGCTGTCCTTGAGTGTCACATTCCCCACCAGCCCTTCTTTGTTGGTGAGAACAAGGTCCAGCATAGCACCTCTCCTCATTGGTTCCTCTACCACTTGGAGAAGGAAGTTATCATCCATGCATTCCAGGAGCCTCCTGGATTGCCTATGCCCTGCTGTGATGTCCCTCCAACAGATATCAGGGTGGTTGACGTTCCCCATGAGGACTAGGGCTCATGAACGTGAGGCTGCTCCTATCTGTCTGTAGAGGGCCTCATCCACTCGGTCTTCCTGGTCAGGTGGTCTGTAGCAGACCCCCACTACTATGTCCCCTGTCCCTGCTCTCTCTTTAATCCTGACCCATAAGCTCTCAGTTGGGACCTCATCCATCCCCAGGTGCAGCTCCATGCACTCCAGCTGGTGCACAGAGGGCAACTCCTCCTCCTCTTCTCCCCTGCCTATCCTTCCTTAAGAGCCTGTACACTTCTATTCTGACACTCCAGTCGTAGGATTCATCCCACCATGTCTCCGTGATGCCAATAAGATCATATTCCAACAGGCGCGGGCACACTTCCAACTCCTCCTGCTTATTGCCCATGCTGCACACATTAGTGTAGAGGCAGACTTGCTGATACTTGCTGAGTGAACAAAACACATGTCCTGAAATGCAGGTTGACTGGCCACTGGGGAAACAATGCATCTTGGCGTAAGTAGAGAAGTGGTTCTGGTTGCTCTAGACAGCTTTCTGAGGAGAAAGAATTGCCAGGGTTGGTTAGCTCCAGTGCTTGGGTTTTCAACTGTCCTGTGAGAAAAATCTGTGGATTAATACTACTGCACAGCCTGGAAAATGGTAAATCAGAAACAGGAGTTTGTTGTCAGTAGGCTTCAGATCTACGGTGTAGAGGAGTGGGCTGTTGTTTGGCAGGTTTTTGACTGAGAAAGTTTCAAAGGGCTTGCAAGCCCTAAAATACTGAATTGTTGTTAAGACCAGTGAATTCATGATCTCGTTTCAAGTAAAGTTGTGATTTGGGAATGAACTGAAAATAGCCACATGGAATTCCTGTCCCTTGGTCAGCATTGCAGAAATATTTGTCAGTCTGAATAATTCTGGCTGAGCCTTGCTTTTTCATAAAACTCTGATCTGTACTGTCTCCTCAACATCTGTGTATAGATTTCATGCTTCATGAATTGCAGATGATTTTGCAAGGCTGTTTTACCCCCAAAATACCTTTTTTTTTTTTTTTTTTGAAACCAAACCCACCCCCAACCTATCCCACCTATTTTGTGTCCCATTCATCAGCAAATTCAAGCTGGTTCTGGTGGCAATAACCTGCCTGAGCTCAGGACACAGCAGGGACTGGTCTTCAAGAGTTCACAAAGGCCAGCCACACCCAGGGTGGCCTCAGGAAGCCGTGGGAGCGGCTGGAAAGAGCTATGGGTTGCTGAAACCAAGGAGCTGTTCCTGGAGTGCATTGCTGCTTGCTGAGCTTCTGTCGTGGTCCTGCAGGGTGGGTGCCCACAGGAGGACTCTGGACAACACAGGCCAGCCACAGTGTCCATTATCACACAAGCCCTGTTCCCCAGCTGAATCAAACAGATTTTTCTTAGATATCAGGAAAAATTTCTTTACAGAGAGGGTTGTGAAGCATTGGAACAGGCTGCCCAGGGAGGTGATGGAGTCCCCATCCCTGAAGGTGTTTAAAAACCATGTGGATTTGGTGTTGAGCGACATGGTTTAGGGACCCTGACAGTGAAGGGTGAATGGTTGGACTCGATGATCTTGAAGGTCTCTTCCAACCAGACGATTCTATGATTCTATGAAATCCAACCTTAAATCCCCCAGCATCTCTGATGCAGCCTGTGTTGAACAAGACATACCTCAGATCCTTTGCTCTTACCTTGCTCCCATGACCCCTGATGGTAGCTGTTGATCTCTCACACCCCTACCTAGCTAGACAGAATCAGCTCCAAACAGGTTCATCACAGCTTAGCTTGCGGCTGGCCATTACTTACAGTGTGGGGAGACACCTCCTGTCCCTGTCTTCAGCCTCTTATCACTACCTGAACTTGGGCTCTGCTTCCTAGTACACGGAAAGCCTTTGGGGCCATCCTGCCAAGTGGTGCTAATACTGACCACTGCATTTCCCTCATCAGAAGGCTTCACAGTTCAGAGGACTGTGCACGGTGCCAGCCCTTCCTCTTCCCCAA